TGCGTGTGTACGTGTGCGTGTGTACGTGTGTGTGTGTGTACGTGTGCGTGTGTACGTGTGTGTGTGTGTGTATGTGTGTGTGTACGTGTGTGTATGTACGTGTGTGTGTGTGTGTACGTGTGTGTGTGTACGTGTGTGTACGTGTGTGTGTGTGTGCCCGCGCGCGTAGGGAGGGAGAAACATCCAAGTGGGCAAGGTTAGATTTATAATCATCACAATCATCACCATCATCATCACCATCATCACCACCATCATCATCATCACTACCATCACCACCATCATCACCACCATCATCACCACCATCATCACCACCATCACCACCACCAACACCACCATCACCACCATCATCACCATCATCACCATCATCACCAACACAACAATCACCAACACCACCATCGACACCACCACCATCACCACCATCGTCACCATCACCATCATCACCAACACCATCACCACCACCACCACCAACACTATAGTGTGCCTATAGGGTGACTATAGGGTGACTAACCAGTGCGACAGTAGGGGTGACTAGCTGGGTGACAGGGTGACTATAGGGTGACTATAGGGTGACTAGCTGGGTGACTATAGGGTGACTAACCAGTACGACAGTAGGGTGACTATAGGGTGACTATAGGGTGACTACAGGGTGACTATAGGGTGACTAGCCAGTGCGACAGTAGGGGTGACTAGCTGGGTGACTATAGGGTGGCTATAGGGTGACTACAGGGTGACTATAAGGATGACTATAGGGGTGACTACAGGGTGACTATAAGGATGACTATAGGGGTGACTACAGGGTGACCAAAGGGTGACTATAGGGGTGACTACAGGGTGACTATAAGTGTGACTATAGGGTGACTACAGGGTGACTAACCAGTACGACAGTAGGGGTGACTACAGGGTGACTACAGGGTGACTATAGAGTGACTATAGGGTGACTATAAGTGTGACTACAGGGTGACTCACCGGTACGACAGTAGGGGTGACTACAGGGTGACTACAGGGTGACTACAGGGTGACTATAGAGTGACTATAGGGTGACTCACCAGTACGACAGTAGGGGTAGGCGTTCCAGGTGACTACAGGGTGACTATAGGGTGACTAGCCAGTGCGACAGTAGGGGTGACTAGCTGGGTGACTATAGGGTGGCTATAGGGTGACTACAGGGTGACTATAAGGATGACTATAGGGGTGACTACAGGGTGACTATAAGGATGACTATAGGGGTGACTACAGGGTGACCAAAGGGTGACTATAGGGGTGACTACAGGGTGACTATAAGTGTGACTATAGGGTGACTACAGGGTGACTAACCAGTACGACAGTAGGGGTGACTACAGGGTGACTACAGGGTGACTATAGAGTGACTATAGGGTGACTATAAGTGTGACTACAGGGTGACTCACCGGTACGACAGCAGGGGTGACTACAGGGTGACTACAGGGTGACTACAGGGTGACTATAGAGTGACTATAGGGTGACTCACCAGTACGACAGTAGGGGTAGGCGTTCCAGGTGACTACAGGGTGACTATAGGGTGACTACAGGGTGACTACAGGGTGACTCACCGGTACGACAGTAGGGGTGACTACAAGGTGACTATAGAGTGACTACAGGGTGACTACAGGGTGACTATAGAGTGACTACAGGGTGGCTCACCGGTACGACAGTAGGGGTGACTATAAGTGTGACTATAGTGACTACAGGGTGACTATAGGGTGACTCACCGGTACGACTATATGGTGACTATAAGTGTGACTATAGAGTGACTACAGGGTGACTATAGGGTGACTCACCGGTACGACAGTAGGGGTGACTAGAGGGTGACTATAGGGGTGACTACAGGGTGACTAGAGGGTGACTCACCGGTACGACAGTAGGGGTAGGCGTTCCAGGTGACTACAGGGTGACTACAGGGTGACTCACCAGTACGACAGTAGGGGTGACTACAGTGTGACTAGAGGGTGACTATAGAGTGACTATAGGGGTGACTACAGGGTGACTAGAGGGTGACTCACCGGTACGACAGTAGGGGTAGGCGTTCCAGGTGACTACAGGGTGACTACAGGGTGACTATATAGTGACTACAGGGTGACTCACCGGTACGACAGTAGGGGTAGGCGTTCCAGGTGACTACAGGGTGACTACAGGGTGACTATAGAGTGACTATAGGGTGACTAGAGGGTGACTCACCGGTACGACAGTAGGGGTAGGCGTTCCAGGTGACTACAGGGTGACTACAGGGTGACTACAGGGTGACTATAGTGTGACTACAGGGTGACTCACCAGTACGACAGTAGGGGTGACTACAGTGTGACTAGAGGGTGACTATAGAGTGACTATAGGGGTGACTACAGGGTGACTAGAGGGTGACTCACCGGTACGACAGTAGGGGTAGGCGTTCCAGGTGACTACAGGGTGACTACAGGGTGACTACAGGGTGACTATAGTGTGACTACAGGGTAACTCACCGGTACGACAGTAGAGGTGACTACAGGGTGACTACAGGGTGACTCACCGGTACGACAGTAGGGGTGACTACAGGGTGACTACAGGGTGACTCACCGGTACGACAGTAGGGGTGACTACAGGGTGACTCACCGGTACGACAGTAGGGGTAGGCGTTCCAGGCCTTCTCAGGGTGACTACAGGGTGACTACAGGGTGACTACAGTGTGACTACAGGGTGACTACAGGGTGACTCACCGGTACGACAGTAGGGGTAGGCGTTCCAGGTGACTACAGGGTGACTATAGGGTGACTATAGGGTGACTAGAGGGTGACTATAGGGTGACTATAGGGTGACTCACCGGTACGACAGTAGGGGTAGGCGTTCCAGGTGACTACAGGGTGACTATAGGGTGACTACAGGGTGACTACAGGGTGACTACAGGGTGACTCACCGGTACGACAGTAGGGGTAGGCGTTCCAGGTGACTACAGGGTGACTACAGGGTGACTACAGGGTGACTACAGGGTGACTACAGGGTGACTCACCGGTACGACAGTAGGGGTAGGCGTTCCAGGCCTTCTCAGGGTGACTACAGGGTGACTACAGGGTGACTACAGGGTGACTACAGGGTGACTACAGGGTGACTCACCGGTACGACAGTAGGGGTAGGCGTTCCAGGCCTTCTCAGGGTGACTACAGGGTGACTACAGGGTGACTATAGAGTGACTATAGGGTGACTATAGGGTGAATCACCGGTACGACAGTAGGGGTAGGCGTTCCAGGTGACTATAGGGTGACTATAGGGTGACTAGAGGGTGACTACAGGGTGACTCACCGATACGACAGTAGGGGTAGGCGTTCCAGGTGACTACAGGGTGACTACAGGGTGACTACAGGGTGACTCACCGGTACGACAGTAGGGGTAGGCGTTCCAGGTGACTACAGGGTGACTATAGGGTGACTATAGGGTGACTCACCGGTACGACAGTAGGGGTAGGCGTTCCAGGTGACTACAGGGTGACTACAGGGTGACTACAGGGTGACTATAGGGTGACTCACCGGTACGACAGTAGGGGTAGGCGTTCCAGGCTTTCTCAGGGTGACTACAGGGTGACTACAGGGTGACTAGAGGGTGACTCACCAGTACGACAGTAGGGGTAGGCGTTCCAGGCCTTCTCAGGGTGACTACAGGGTGACTATGGAGTGACTACAGGGTGACTATATGGTGACTCACCGGTACGACAGTAGGGGTAGGCGTTCCAGGTGACTACAGGGTGACTACAGGGTGACTATAGAGTGACTATAGGGTGACTATAGGGTGACTCACCGGTACGACAGTAGGGGTGACTACAGTGTGACTATAGAGTGACTACAGGGTGACTATAGGGTGACTACAGGGTGACTACAGGGTGACTCACCGGTACGACAGTAGGGGTAGGCGTTCCAGGCCTTCTCAGGGTGACTAGAGGGTGACTAGAGGGTGACTACAGGGTGACTACAGGGTGACTCACCGGTACGACAGTAGGGGTGACTACAGTGTGACTAGAGGGTGACTATAGAGTGACTATAGGGGTGACTACAGGGTGACTATAGGGTGACTCACCGGTACGACAGTAGGGGTGACTACAGGGTGACTACAGGGTGACTATAGGGTGACTATAGGGTGACTACAGGGTGACTCACCGGTACGACAGTAGGGGTAGGCGTTCCAGGTGACTACAGTGTGACTATAGGGTGACTATAGGGTGACTATAGGGTGACTACAGGGTGACTATAGGGTGACTCACCGGTACGACAGTAGGGGTAGGCGTTCCAGGTGACTACAGGGTGACTACAGGGTGACTACATGGTGACTATAGGGTGACTACAGGGTGACTACAGGGTGACTCACCGGTACGACAGTAGGGGTAGGCGTTCCAGGCCTTCTCAGGGTGACTATATGGTGACTACAGGGTGACTACAGGGTGACTAGAGGGTGACTCACCGGTACGACAGTAGGGGTAGGCGTTCCAGGTGACTACAGGGTGACTACAGGGTGACTATAGAGTGACTATAGAGTGACTAGAGGGGTGACGACAGGGTGACTACAGGGTGACTACAGGGTGACTACAGGGTGACTCACCGGTACGACAGTAGGGGTAGGCGTTCCAGGTGACTACAGTGTGACTATAGGGTGACTACAGGGTGACTACAGAGTGACTACAGGGTGACTATAGGGTGACTCACCGGTACGACAGTAGGGGTAGGCGTTCCAGGTGACTATAAGTGTGACTATAGGGTGACTAGAGGGTGACTATAGGGTGACTATAGGGTGACTACAGGGTGACTATAGAGTGACTATAGAGTGACTACAGGGTGACTATAGGGTGACTAGAGGGTGACTCACCAGTACGACAGTAGGGGTAGGCGTTCCAGGTGACTACAGGGTGACTATAGAGTGACTATAGGGTGACTACAGGGTGACTCACCGGTACGACAGTAGGGGTAGGCGTTCCAGGTGACTACAGGGTGACTACAGGGTGACTACAGGGTGACTATAGAGTGACTATAGAGTGACTATAGGGTGACTACAGGGTGACTCACCGGTACGACAGTAGGGGTGACTACAGGGTGACTATAGAGTGACTACAGGGTGACTACAGGGTGACTATAGGGGTGACTACAGGGTGACTACAGGGTGACTCACCAGTACGACAGTAGGGGTAGGCGTTCCAGGTTACTACAGGGTGACTACAGGGTGACTACAGGGTGACTACAGGGTGACTCACCGGTACGACAGTAGGGGTAGGCGTTCCAGGCCTTCTCAGGGTGACTACAGGGTGACTACAGTGTGACTACAGGGTGACTACAGGGTGACTATAGAGTGACTATAGGGTGACTATAGAGTGACTATAGGGTGACTCACCGGTACGACAGTAGGGGTAGGCGTTCCAGGCCTTCTCAGGGTGACTATAGGGTGACTACAGGGTGACTACAGGGTGACTACAGGGTGACTCACCGGTACGACAGTAGGGGTAGGCGTTCCAGGTGACTACAGGGTGACTATAGGGTGACTACAGGGTGACTACAGGGTGACTACAGGGTGACTCACCGGTACGACAGTAGGGGTAGGCGTTCCAGGTGACTACAGGGTGACTACAGGGTGACTACAGGGTGACTCACCGGTACGACAGTAGGGGTAGGCGTTCCAGGTGACTACAGGGTGACTACAGGGTGACTACAGGGTGACTACAGGGTGACTCACCGGTACGACAGTAGGGGTAGGCGTTCCAGGTGACTACAGGGTGACTACAGGGTGACTACAGGGTGACTACAGGGTGACTATAGGGTGACTACAGGGTGACTCACCGGAACGACAGTAGGGGTAGGCGTTCCAGGTGACTATATGGTGACTACAGGGTGACTACAGAGTGACTACAGGGTGACTACAGAGTGACTACAGGGTGACTACAGAGTGACTACAGGGTGACTACAGGGTGACTCACCGGTACGACAGTAGGGGTAGGCGTTCCAGGCCTTCTCATGGTGACTATAGGGTGACTATAGAGTGACTACAGGGTGACTACAGGGTGACTACAGGGTGACTACAGGGTGACTATAAGTGTGACTATAGGGGTGACTACAGGGTGACTACAGGGTGACTCACCGGTACGACAGTAGGGGTAGGCGTTCCAGGTGACTACAGGGTGACTACAGGGTGACTACAGGGTGACTATAAGTGTGACTATAGGGGTGACTACAGGGTGACTCACCGGTACGACAGTAGGGGTAGGCGTTCCAGGTGACTACAGGGTGACTACAGGGTGACTACAGAGTGACTATAGGGTGACTCACCGGTACGACAGTAGGGGTAGGCGTTCCAGGTGACTACAGGGTGACTACAGGGTGACTACAGGGTGACTACAGGGTGACTCACCGGTACGACAGTAGGGGTAGGCGTTCCAGGCCTTCTCAGGGTGACTACAGGGTGACTACAGGGTGACTACAGGGTGACTACAGGGTGACTACAGGGTGACTATAGGGTGACTACAGGGTGACTCACCAGTACGACAGTAGGGGTAGGCGTTCCAGGCCTTCTCAGGGTGACTACAGGGTGACTACAGGGTGACTACAGGGTGACTATAGGGTGACTATAGGGTGACTACAGGGTGACTACAGGGTGACTACAGGGTGACTCACCGGTACGACAGTAGGGGTAGGCGTTCCAGGTGACTACAGGGTGACTATAGGGTGACTATAGGGTGACTACAGGGTGACTACAGGGTGACTCACCGGTACGACAGTAGGGGTAGGCGTTCCAGGTGACTACAGGGTGACTACAGGGTGACTATAGGGTGACTACAGGGTGACTCACCGGTACGACAGTAGGGGTAGGCGTTCCAGGCCTTCTCAGGGTGACTACAGGGTGACTACAGGGTGACTACAGTGTGACTACAGGGTGACTACAGGGTGACTACAGGGTGACTATAGGGTGACTCACCGGTACGACAGTAGGGGTAGGCGTTCCAGGCCTTCTCAGGGTGACTACAGGGTGACTACAGGGTGACTACAGGGTGACTACAGGGTGACTCACCGGTACGACAGTAGGGGTAGGCGTTCCAGGTGACTATAGAGTGACTACAGGGTGACTACAGGGTGACTACAGGGTGACTACAGGGTGACTATAAGTGTGACTACAGGGTGACTACAGGGTGACTACAGGGTGACTCACCGGTACGACAGTAGGGGTAGGCGTTCCAGGTGACTACAGGGTGACTATAGAGTGACTACAGGGTGACTACAGGGTGACTACAGGGTGACTACAGGGTGACTCACCGGTACGACAGTAGGGGTAGGCGTTCCAGGTGACTACAGGTGACTACAGGGTGACTATAGGGTGACTATAGGGTGACTAGAGGGTGACTATAGGGTGACTACAGGGTGACTACAGGGTGACTACAGGGTGACTCACCGGTACGACAGTAGGGGTAGGCGTTCCAGGTGACTACAGGGTGACTACAGGGTGACTACAGCGTGACTACAGGGTGACTACAGGGTGACTACAGGGTGACTCACCGGTACGACAGTAGGGGTAGGCGTTCCAGGTGACTACAGGGTGACTACAGGGTGACTATAGGGTGACTAGAGGGTGACTACAGGGTGACTAGAGGGTGACTATAGAGTGACTATAGGGTGACTACAGGGTGACTACAGGGTGAC